TAGACTTACGAAAGAGTTTCAAAACATGGGCATAATGGAATGAAACAACATAATGATTCAAGGAGAATGAGGAAATGCAAGCATAAAGTACAACATAATGTGCTGACTATGGTCCAAGTTACTATAAGCAATGATGTTCTACCACCCTGTACTTAAATATGAAGGGGTCATATAAATGAAAGTTACTAAGATTCCAAGTCTCTATACATTTTAATTTGAATGCGTTCCTGTATATGATTTCTACCATTCAATGACTCTAAGGCCTGAAGACAGCTAAAACTGAGCTTTTATTCCATATAGCAAGGTTACATTAGCTTTTGCTAGAGAATTTTTTTTAATTACATATTTCTAAATTCACATTGAACATGATATAGTTGTGTCACACAAAATTGTACTACCTGTTTCCTCACAACTGAGAGAACAAAGCTTGTAAAGTGATACAGTATTCTCTGGGCAAGTCACCTCTCAAATCTGTTAAATCTTTAGTTCTGGTCAGTTTTACTAAGTTTGTTTTTCAACTTATTTTGTTTTTTCAATCTCACTACTCTTCCTAAAGTTCAAGTAAATTCTTAAATAAAGAGCTGATTTAGATCCTTGAGATGAAATTTCATAATTGAAGAGAGAAAGAAAAGGGTTTCAAGATTAATTAATGGAATAACAAGGGCTAGAATGGGTTCCAAGACAAAGTGTGATTGATTCAAAGAATATGTCGTATAACCAAAAACTCTTATTCAGATTAACTCAACAAAGCCTTATTCCTACTATTTGAAGTTGTTTACATTCAAAAGACCATTGCACTGGTATGAGTAAGAAATTAACACAAACAACAAACAACAAATAGCAAACACTTCTCCTCCACAACACAAATCAATCAACAAGAAGCCTCCACATACAAGATCCCATACTCCCATGCTTTTCAACAAATACAAGAAAGTAAATTGCCTCCACACGGGCACACGGGCCGATGATTTAAAAATTGGTCACTTCAAGGCATGTGACCCCCTAATACACTACAAAGAGTTCAAAAATTGGTCACTTCAAGGCACGTGACACCCTTTTTGCAAAATAGAAGTATGAAAACTTACAATCATCTCCGAAGCAGCAACATCAATAGCATTGTCATCCTTATTTATATGTGTGCGAATGAATAAATCTGCACGAGAAAGTTGAATACCTTTTTTTTCCTCAATCTATAAAAGAAACATAGACATTGTGATATATATTATTTACTACTAACATTTATAATCATTCAACAACAAAAGATAATTTATATTGCCAAAACTTCAACTAACCTCGGCAGAAACACGCGCAAAGCTTTTTGTCCCTGTAGTATGCATCATTGTCTGCTTCCCACAACGTTCTTTGTTTTTTTTGCTGACCTCCTACAAACAGTAAGAAAAAGTAAACGTTCTTTGAGTAAAGAACATTCCACCTAAAACAATGACTGAAAGCAGGTGTGATGCCCCCTGATCTCGAAACACGGGTTGATCAAGTCTGCGCACAAAACTAGGAGATATCAAAACAATTAAAGTATTTCAAACAAGTACAGAGTACAAAATGAAATAAAAGAAAAACTAATATGCTGAAGAAAAACTAATAAATAAAAATTAATTAATGATTCTCCAACAATTACAATTCGGGAATCCCATAACTCAAGGACCCCTTAAAATATTATCCAATAATCTAATACTACTTCAAAATACACAAGATAAATGACAGTCTCCCAGTTGCGGATCCTCAACCTCGAGACTGGAACCTCTAATAACCTGAAAAATAAATCGTGGGTTAAACCCTACGAGCAAGTTCTCTCTACCAGACCTCTGAAAACCAATAGATAGATCATCTCTGATCAAAACCAAACCTAATAAAATTTTAACCTTAACATACCATAATATATATGTATATATACATATAACAATAACAACTATAACTAGATGCATTAATTCCAAAACCATTATCAATGATTAACTAATAATTATACCTAGTCCAATCCACAATTTCTTTTTAAAGAAACTCCTCTAACTTTAATTCCATCCTAGATAGCAATTTAATAATTTAAACAATATAATATAATTAAAAGAACATTATATTTAATTCTAAAACCAATAATGATTTTAAGTATTTAAATCACACAGCCAAATATCTAAAATCATCCATGTCACCATCGGTATTATTTTATTAATATGTATAAAATAATACACTAACATGTAAATACTAGACTATTCTAATTTAAGAATATCTAATCATAATCCAACTTACACAAACAGTAATCATAAATAATATATTTTAATCATCTAACACATAACAATATAATCAAACTTTGGCAAATCAACCATGCTATTATAAACATATTTATTTATATATCGGCAACTCAACCATGCCTCCTTAAGTATGTTTATTTATATATTGGAAATTCAACCATGCCTTCACAAGTATATTCATTTATACTTTTAATTAGCAACTCATCCATGCTTCCCATGTATGTATTCTGTTCATACAAATATTTAGGTAATATATTTAACCCTTTGGCAATTCATCCATGCCTACACTTTAACCATGAATCAACTTTAAACTTAACCATACGCTAAATCATACATAGCCATCTCATGCATATTATACGCATATTATTAATTTAAAAACCAACCTATCCAGATATATTAAATAAGAATAATAATACTAATAATCTTAATTAACATACCTATATATACACACATATTATATAATATATATATGTATAATATTTTCCTAATAATCCTTGATTATTTAAATCCTATATATATATATATATATATATATATATATATATATATATCATTCCTTCCATATTAATCATAATTTAATCAAATCCATGTATACGCACACACATATAAATATATATATAATTATATATACACACACCACATTTCATAACAATATAATAAATTATTATATTTACGCAAAATAAATGCTACTAATCATTGTAGTAACACTCTATGGCTTTCCGAATACCAAGAACACCTCCTCTAGTGGTTGTTTTCAACCCTAACTGGCTTAAAACCAATTCTGGAAATTCACCAGACCTCAAAGGACCTTAACAGGACCCTAAACAATGCTTCACGCGCCCCCACGCGCCACCACACGCTCCTAAACATCTCTCACGCGCTTCCACGCGCCACCCCTATCTGGCAGGTTCCATCACGCGCCCCCACGCACGTTACACGTGCTGCCACGCGCCTGTTCCTTCTTCTAGCTGATGTGGCGCACTCTGATTGGCTACTCTCCTCGCTACTACATAAGCGCACCTATACCGGATCAGCCGCTCCCCATCAGTGCATCTCAGCCCTCCAAATCTTGCGCGCACCATATTAATGTGTCCCGCAATACACTAGATTATTTTCAACATCACCTCAATGCATCAGTGGCCCAGAATCCGCGTGCACCCCATCTTCTATACTCGCTCACACTTGATTATTAACCCATGTTTCATGCCCCGGCACACAGACCTCCATTGCATATATATAACCAGTATATGTATGTATAAATTTTCCAACAAAATAAAGGAAAATCAAATCAAATAAATTCCTAAAAATTTAGAAAAATACCAGAAATTTTCATAAAAATTCCAAAAATTCCAGAAACTATAAATAACCCTATTGGATCATAGATCAAGCATAATAATTAATTTATAAATATATACAACCTATATATATAATTAAAAACCAATAATTCTAAAATAATCATAATTATAATAAAGTATGTTTTTAATACTACGATTTAATCCTGATTTAATCAAATACAATTAACTTAATATTTTTTATTTATCCACTCTAACCATGATTTAAATTTATAATTTAATTAAAACCTTGATACTCAAGGTGATAAACTTATGGTTCCTAAGAGGAGAGTTAGAAAAGAACTTGCCTGAATGTTTCGAAACGAAACCGACGCTTCAAACTTTGATTGTCTCTTCCAATTCCAGCATCTCTTTCTCCGATCCAGACTCCTCTTTATCAACTTTCTCTTCTCTCTGTCTCTCTCTTATTTTTCTAACATGTAAACTCTTTAACCCTAAACCTTATGTGTAAATTTATACATATTAAAAACTAAATCTTATTCCAACTAGGACTATCAATTGAAATAATAATCTTTAAATAATATAATATATATAAACATATATTATATTACATACATATATATATTTATCTTCCATAATTAACCATTAGTTAATTAAATAAAATAAATCTATATATATCCATAAATATATATCTCTATATATATCTTTCCCTAACAATTATTAATTAATTATATTTATATAGAATTTTATATTTTTATAATTAATACAAAAATAATCATTTAAATAATTAAATAACCATGGGCCTTTATTAATTAACCCAATAAGGCCTCCTTCAAGCCCAAGACCATATCCTTTGGTCCAACTTCCCTTAAGCCCAAATCCAATTAGTTTAAATAAATCAAATAATTAAATAAACAGGTAAATTAAAATAACTAATTACAATTAATTCACAATAAAATTACACTAGCATAAAAATCACACGTAGTCAAATAAGCAACTTAAAACAACACAATCATGACATTCTCATAAAGCAAACCAACACACCAATTCATCAAATATAATCACGAAACATAATTTAATAAAAATAAGACCATTGACCATAACACTCCATTAAATAAAGCAAATCATTTAAAAATAAAATAAAAGCAATTAATTCTAATTGAATCGCAGATGCCTCGATAGCCCAGTGGTTAGTGCCTCCAGTGAATTTTGGGAGTGCCAGGCTTTGACTCTTTGCACCTACTAACCTAACTTCTAACCCTTCTTGCCTTGTATAAAATAAATAAATAAATAATTCTCATTGAATCAAATAAATCATTTAAAAATCAAATAAAAGTAATTAATCCTAATTAATAAGTCCTTTAAAATATTAGGGTATTACAGCAGGTAAACTATAAATTCAACTTATTGACTTTAAACAAAATTGGTAGATGGAGGATTACCTTCGCCATAGGCGTACCCCAATGCCTAACCAAAAATTCCCATTGCTCCTTTTCAACATTAGGTGGTAGGTTTGCCAATCTTTCTGCATCGGTATCCCTAACTATTTTTTAATTTACACTTGTACCCCCTCCATTTTTTTCCCGATGAAGGATAATGTCCACTATTTTGACATGATTCCCACATCATACTTTCCCTGAAATGTGATAATTGCTGCATGTTAATCCACTTTTTTCATAAAAATTATTTTAATGTCATTGAAGGGTTTTACCTTTATAATGTTCCACATATCCTCTTTAAGCCATTTAGGCATCTCCCACCAAGTTTTGTAGCACAAAGGAGCTAATTTACCATTTCGGGCAAGTGTTCCCAAATAATTAGTATATGTACCACTTCCAAGGCCGATCGGCAATCCATACTTATTAACCCTAAACAAAAATTAACAATTGTAAATGTTTAGTACAAAAATAAAGATAGAAATCCTTTTTTCTCCTTCATATTGAATATAGTCTAATTATGTAAAATATATAAGATGATCTCTATATATATGTACCTTAATGGTAATAAGGTTGTCGCGTTTACGACATTCTTGCATCGTGTCGGGCCCCGTCTCTTCTTCGGAGGTGGTTAGGATGATTTTGAAGTTGAAGCTTCAGTATTTTGTTCACTCACTTTTTCCACTTCACTAACCGTTCGTTTCATTGTCAGCTTATTATCTATCCTTCCTAGAAAAGTAAACAAAAAAGTGAGAATTCATTTAAGAGCTGACAATTCCATTGTGTACAGTAAAAAAGTAACAGGTAATAGTTTAATCTCCAAAAGTTCCACATGAACATAAAAAAATTATTTGCATTAATCAAACTAAAAACATATTGCAACATGATTATTTGTAAAAGCTGACAATTCAGCAAGATGATATGCCAAAGTTGATTTACCTATCAGGCAACAAGTAGAATATATTGATGAACTAATGAAACTCATAAGGAATAATTTTAAATGAATAGATAAAAAAATTAAAAAGCAGGAAAAACAATCATCAATACCTTCAAAGAATATTAGCCAATCAAATGCGAGTTATCCCCTTCTTGATTGCTAATGCGAAGGAAACCGGGACAAAGGCTGAATTATAGTGGTCACACTGTCAACAATAGCAAGAACATAACAAGCTCAGTGTCTTGTAGCATACAAAAACAACATACTGTATCGGCGGTATAACTGCATAACATGTGTGTCAATTTTCATTCATACTTTATGTACACTGATTTTATGTTTCAGCACTAGTCTTAACTTCATATGCCTATGTTTATCTAATAACATATTGCCATCACTTAAGTCAGCTTCATTGATAATTTCATCATACTTCAATCAAAAAATGACCTAAACTCATCAAATCAAGCCCTGTATTAATATAAATGGCACTTATCCAACTATGGATCCTAATCTTATTTCATAGTTCTGAAAATGTGAGACTTCTATTATAAATACAAATGTGCACTTATCCAACAATGGAACCTAACCTTGTGATGTCAAAGTATTCTAAAAAAAAATGTAAAATAAAAAAATAATAGTAAATGAATTTCTCTAAGATATTGTGTGATGATTAACTGGGAAGGCTTGGACTGTTAACCAGCAAGTAGGAACTTCAGACTTTCGTTTTTTAACTTGGAAGATATGGAGGTTTACGCTTTATGGTGATAAAAAAGAAGTCCATGCTACTAATTTCACTAATACTTAAGTTTAGATTTTTGTGACCCCATGTATCTAACAACACTCATATTTAAATTCATATACTTGAATAAAAAAACAAAAAAAACAAAACTCATATAAGGATCATAATAAAAATAAATAACTAAAATGAACAACTTACATGTTGAAGCAACCCTGACACTTCACATCACAAAAATTATATTGTTGAAAGTCTGAAGAAACTCTACATAAGACAACCAAACATCATTAGTCTTGTAGAGAGAAACTAAAACAATCCTAACCAAAGTCTGAAGAAACGTATTATAAAAATATTATGTATAGTAAAAGATCTTATATATATATATATATACACACACACACACACTAAGTATGAAAAATTCGTTTGGAAATAAAAGAAAAAAAATTTCAAACCAAAAATTCATTTCATGAAAGAAAAAAAACATTAAAAAAAGAAATTTGCTTATGGATTGGAACTTACTCAGAATTGCAGAGAGAAACTAAATTGTGTAAAATGAATGATCAGTGAGAAATAAAACAACGAACCACAAAGAAAAAATGAAACTAAGCGGTACCTGAGAGAGGCTTTAGCGAGAACGTTTTGGAAGGAAAATCTAGTGAGTAAGATCTCGAAATGACATAAATTAACAGCTCTTGGAGATAGAGTAGCTGGTAGAGATCGAGACAGAGGAGAGACAGCCTGAAGAGAAGGGCTTCAACTTTGTAATCTCAGATGAGATAATGCCGAAAGAGAGATGGGTTAGCAAACATCAATCAAGGGCTTGGGCTGAGAAATAGAGATCGAGACAAGGTAGAGGAGTCTTGCAGCTGAGATGGAGATCGAGCAGTGAGAGATTGAGATAGAGCGGGTTAGCAAACATCAATCAAGGGCTTCAGCTGAGAAATAGAGATCGAGCAGTAGAGATCGAAACAAAGTACATGAGTCTTGTAGCTGAGAGATCGAGATAGAGTAGAGAGGGGAAATGGATGAAGTAGGGCTAAATGAAATTGAAATGGGAAAGTGGAATATAGTGTTAATGGACCCAAAAAAATGACGCAGTTTAGGCACCAAATATTCTATATATATAAATAAGCGGAGGAAAAAGTGGAAGGAAGACAAAAATTGGAGGGGAGGGGAAAAATTGGAGGGAATGGAAGAGCCATTACCAGTGCTTTTTTTAAAGGGATTATTACATATAAATGAGGTTAGGGCACTATATTTACTTAGAGGTTGAGTCAAAGTCTCAAAGCTTCTCTAAAATATGTTTGACCCAAAGGTTGAGGTGGCACATGAAAAAATACTGTTTCATATTTCTGTTGCCTAAAGTACCGTTCTTCCTATTTTATGTATTGCCTAAAATATCCTTTTGTACACTTACTAATTCCTCTTTTCACATTCCATTCGTGCCGACCTCTCTCTCCCCCTTTCTCTGTAAACAGCAGCGATCAACAATCCTCTAACCATTTCCGTGCCTTTCGTGACAAATTGGATTACTGATATAATCCAATTGTAGTGTTATATGTGTTTCTATATACGTAAATCTATATATATATGTGGGTGTGTGGGTGTGTGTTTGATTGTTTGCGTGTATACAGAGTCACAGACACACTACAAGACTGATGGTGGTTGATTTATCGTGCCATTTGAGTGTTGGAGTTTCTCATCACATCCGCTCATGTAAGCATATTTCATTTTAATTTCTTTGGCTGAAATTTCATTTGTAAATTCTGAAACAAAATCAGAAAAGCTTGAACCCTAACAGATATGTGTGAGTATATGTTGGAGTTCCTTTCGTGAATCATAAATTGATTTTCTTTTTCTCAAAATCATAAATTCCTTTGATTGTTTGAATTCAAAAGCCACTTTATATTGTTGTCATTTAGGTTTTCTTCTACTTTTTCCCCCCTTGAAGAAGCCCACTGATTTAAAGTGATTTTTGTATTGCATGTGTTTGTACAAATGATACAATGAAAAAATGCCATGACAATGATCTTGTGAGGTGGCCATATCTAAAAGCAAGGTTATAAAGTCACAAAATTAAGTTTCCTCGCTGATTAAAGTTTGCATGATTAAATTAGTTGGTGAACTTAGATATTTGGTAGATGGTATAAGCTTTTTGGGCTTCTTGGACCAGAAAGAGTTGGAGATTTTTTGCATGCTAGTTGTTTTATCTTCTGTTTTACTCTTGGTCTTGGTCAAAGAGGTACCTGGGCCCTCGCTTGCCTTTTTTTTTTTGGTATCTCGGATGCTTGATTCTTTAAGTGATTTGATGGCAAATTCAGTTGCTATAACTTCTGTTGGAACTCGTCATCATCGCAAAAATCATCACTCTGATTCATTAGCGCATGAGGATCTAATTCCTGGTTTTTGCAAATTCTATTACGTGACCTAGGAATGTTCCAGTTTTTCTGTAGGAATTCTTTGTTGGTGAATTTTTTTCAAGTCTTACCCCTAGTTTCTAGTTTTGTTTTCCTATCTTTGTGGTTTTTCATACTGGAAGAGTTTTGATCATAGTTTTACCCCCTAGTCTCTAGTTTTACAATTGCGTTGCTGTGCATTTTTTTCCCTCTATAATCAATGCTTTTCTAAGTGGGCAAGAAATAATAGTGAAAAGTGTCTCTATTTGGAACTTAACCTACAATTTTTTTCTTTAAAGCATTGCTGATATCAAAATAGACCATATATGCCAATGATTCTTGAATATCTTCTGAATATAAGCAAAGATCATTTATTTTTCTTTTTTCGAACCTTTTGATCTGATTTTTCCATACAACTCATGTTTCTATATTTGTAGATCTATTAATATAATCAATCTAGGTTTTTTTTTTTTGTTCTTCAAGTTTGTTTATGTGAGTATATTATATGACTTTGTTCTTTTGAGATCTCTACTCGTCCATTATTTTTTGTTGCTTTTTTTTTTTTTTTTTTTTTTTTTGTCCCCCCATCTTGGTTCCTCTGTTTTTTTATTTTTCTTTTTTATTTGATAAGTCATGTTGATGGTGTTGGATAAACATTAAATGGATATAAAATGAGTGGTGGAATGGAGATTTAAATCTTTTGTCAATATGAATAGATGATTGATTCTATTCTAGATTGTATAACAATGGAAAAAAGTAATCATGTCATTTTTTTGTTTCATTTTTGCTTCTTCAGTTTCCATGACATCTTTTCTGGCAACCTCTCCTAATATTTCTGAGAAATTAATGGTTATGTGAAGGCTTCGGATGAAAAGAAGGTCGAGTTGGGAACTCCATCACAGAAATGTTTCCTTCCCTTTCTCATCGGCATGCCAAACTGGTAAATTTTGATTCGACTTATTCCCAATTAAATATTTAATCTTATTTATATTGTATCTTTTTTGGAGGCTCGAGAAGGGATTCATTAGCTCCAAATATTCAAATTTGGGCCAGCAGTTAGCAAATTGTTTATAGCCTTCTCACCATGGCTTTAGGTAAGTCTAAGATAATTAATTTCTAATTTGTTTATGGTTTACTGTAGTCAATACGGTTTTAGTTTACTGTAGTCAGTCTAATATGTTTAATTCAAAACTTGTTAAACAAGGGGTGAAAAAGACTTCTACCACTGCACTACAAGAAAAATGACTTGAAATCTTCTACAACATTGCAAGATTATAATTCAAACAATGGAAAAAAATTGTCCAGTAAATAGGAGAAGACCAACAGCCAAAAACTAAGAGCAGCAACTTTAAAGACTAGTGCTGTTATTTTAACCAAAATCTGGAGTAAATAGGAGAAGAGTAGAAGCAAAGAAAATAATAATAATATAAAGGGCAGCAACTTCTTATTCCTCTGCAAAAGCTAGCCCGGTCCAATTTTAAGTTTTCTCTCTCCTGGTTCAAGCTCTGTTTTTCTTCCTATCTCCCTGCTTAATCTCTTGAATTGGGCACGTCGTCAAAATCAGAAAATCTGGTTGTTGAAACAGAGTTTGTTGAAAATTTGTAGGGATGAATCCTATTTAAACTCCACTAATTCAACCATAAAATCCCAACCATAACATCAGAAAGAAAGTAAAAAAAAATTAATAGCTCAGTTAAAATCTGGTGAAACATGACCAAGAAATCTGGAGCTTAAAAGCTTAACAAGAAATCTGAAACTTAAAAGCTCTTGGGTTGATCAAAGCTGGCCCAAGTTTTAAAAAATTCAGTTTTCAAATTTGGTCCAAATGTGAATGACTAATTTAAGCCAAAAGATAAAATTGGCTTTTGAATTCCAAAATAAAACCCTTTGTGACAGTGGTAATCTACATAATGTTATTAATCACTGCAACAAAAAAGTAAATTGTCTTTCTGCGAATTGTAATTAAACAATCAACCATTTAACGAAATTTTCAAAATAAAAATCCAATTCTGCCAACCACAAAAATGAACTTGACAATCAATATATCATTTGCTTTTCCTTTCTTTCAATTTCTCAGTAATCAAACAGTGGGGGCATGAGCAATACAACTTTTCAGCTCAATCACCTTCTCTGTTTTTACTTTCCCAATCTCAATGTAAAGCAAGCGCACAAAGTAGAAGAATTAAAAATAAAAAATCATTTTTTCATAGATTTCTCAACCTTAAGCCAGTATACTAGTTTTACCGTTGCTTGTAAACACCTCATCTTTAGATAACCAAAACCAAAATGTTTCTAGTACATAATTGGTGTAAGACTCTGGTGGATCACTATTTTGGAACCCCATGTTTCCTGGTTGTTGTTGTCAAACTTTTCATATATGCATGTTATTGGCATTGTCTCATGCTGGTAATGACTGCACACCGATCAGCCACCAAATGATTATGCCGTTTGCTATATTCAATAAAAAAAAGTTATTTCTATTGCAAAGTTTGTGAAACATGAACATTAACCCGTAGTCTAGAGTGGCCAGAGGCCAATTTCTTGTCTATACTCAAAACTGAACTTTTATTTTTTTACAGTTCTACTGCTGGTTCAAGTAAAACCTCACTTTCTTATGCCTTTTTTCTCGTTTTTCATTGCAGTTTGGTGAGGTGGATATTGAGGGTTCATTGGTTGCTAGTATTATTTTAAACAAGGTATATTAGATTTCTTCTCAATAATCAGGAACTATACCTGACTTATTATGACTTCCTTTGGAATTCAATGAATTCTTTTTCTACTATCTTTATGCTCTTCATTGTATAATGTTGGCAGATAGATTTGGTGACTGAGGCTGACTTGGAGGTGTTGACAAAGCGAATTCAGGTAGGCTTTCACCTTGTACATAGATAGATTTTACTTGTATCTTTGAAATGTGGCTACTCATTGAATTGGGAGGGTTAGAGGTGTTTTTAGCCTGTGCCAAGAGAAACTGAACTTGTATGAATGTGGAAAGTGGTAAAACGGTTGTTGGCATTTTTATATCTATTTGATTCCGGCACAATGATCGATTCTTTGAAGTTTAGGCACTTCTTCGGTTAGTTCAGCTGTGGGTTTTGCTGTTGCCTTTTGACAAGCCAAATTTAACTTTAGTCTGGTTTTGATATATATTTTTCTATATTAATGTTATGGTCAACTGGTCTACTGAAAATTGCATTATGTGAAATTTCTTATTTTAAAATTTCTGAACACAAAAAGTAATTACAATATTTTACACAATAGGTATCTGTTTGTGCAGTCAATGGGGTATAAAATTAAAAAAATAGAAATGAAAATTTAAGAATACATTTGAAGCTTACATGTCTATAACAAACTAGGGTTAATACTGAAAGTGCTCAATAGGTTCAATTATTCAACTTATTCATGTAATAGTTTATGGTATAGCCTTGTGTTAGTATGTTGCTTAATTTGTCATATATGTTTTACTGGTATAGCTTTATGTTAAATGAACAGTGAATTCTCTTTCATCTTTCCTTGGCATATTATTGATTCTGCAACTTTTGGATTTTTGGTGCACTTTTGTCAGCATATCAATGGGATGACACAGTTAAAGCTGGCTAAATATGGCGTTGTCGACATGGACTTTGTTTTGGGAGTGGGCGGTTATAATCTAGATAGGTGATTCAGAGTTTTTTGCTTTTTTCATAGTATTTTTTTTCCCTATTTGTGGTTAGGAAATACAAATGGCACTGCATATCCATATCATAAGTGGTATTGGGTAATATCATATTCCATGACGTTTGAACATGCCATTCGTTTTGCAGAATTGATTCAGAGGTTCAGTCGGATAGTTCTCATTGTGAATCCCATCAGTGTTGTTAAAGGCGCGCCTAGGCTCGAGGCTCAGGTTTAGCGCTTGTTGCCATCCCAGGCTCACTGATGTTGGAAATGAGAAGGACCGGATCAAGGTGAAGATGAGAAACGGTGTACAGAAGATGGTCATTTCCAAATGGAAAGGCATCACCACCATCAAAATCAACAACTGAGCTTCCATCGTTGTCCTTCCGAGCTCATCTATGTTCATCCTGTTTGCTTAATTCTTTTTTAGGGTTTGTTCATTGATCGATTGATCTCTTTTGATTTCACTATGTTCTGGTTTTTGAAGCTTTGAAAAATGTTGATGCTCTATGTAGTTGATGGATCTTTTGTTTGAGGGTTCCCAAATCCCAACTGAAAAATGTTGATGATTTGCGTGTGCACCACAAATTTCTGTGTAGAAACATGCCAAACGGGAGAATACAAAATTCTCTTTCTAATTTCTGAACTTATACGACATCATAGCTTTGAATCTTTTGCTAATGGAAATTGTCTAACATGTCAGCTTGAGGAAGAAAATTTCATTTGGAAAGAGAATACTACTATTATCTCATAGTCGAGTTGGGTCACTAATACCATGAACACCCAAACTGAAAAACAGCAAATTACAATTTCCAATGCATTTAAAAGAAATTAGTCTTGCTTGTGTTCGTGTTTCCAGATAAGATTTCCAAATCAATTAAGCGAAATTTCTAGAGGGACACAGAGCAAAACCAGACCAAGAGCATGAGCATTGGAACCTTGAGAAGCAGTGGCAGGCAAAATGCTAAAATACAGACCATGAAAATTTTAAAAACAGCTGATTTACATTGAAGGAACAATAAACAAGTTAAACCACAAAGACTACCTTACAACTTTGGAGAAACAGGTTCCAGTCTGGAAGACTACAGGATCTCAAAATAATTACTGCACCAGAATTTGCTTTATTAATTGGAGTTCCCGAGCTGGGGTCACAAAGAAAGAGAAAGTAGGGCATATTTCGCTAAAATTACTGCACTAGAATTTGCTTCATTAATTGTTCAATTTCATAAGTAGAGCATATTTCGCTAAAATTTGTTTAGAATTTGTGTAGGCTAAAATACCCATCTTATCATTTTTAACTTATTTATTTATATTTGGCAACCTTGTTTTCTAAACACTCGCTTAGCTAGCTTGGAGAATATTTTGTGTTATTTATGGTCCTAATGGAGCTGTTTATAGATGTAATGAGCAACCTAATTAACGGTGTGGGGTTTAATACCATTTTCAATTGCAAAAATAAGTCCCTTTTTCCGAAGGTTCCACTTTTTTTCTAAAGGTACCATGTTTTCGAACTAAAGGTACCACTTTTTGGCGTCCAGGTATCATATTTTCTAAACACCCGCTTAGCTAGCTTAGAGAATATTTTGTGTTATTCATAGCCCTAATAGAGCTGTTTATTGATGTAATGTGCAACCTAATTAGCGGTGTATGGTTTAATACCATTTTCAATTACAAAATTAAGTCCCTTTTTTTGGCGTCCAGGTACCATGTTTTTTAAACACTCGCTTAGCTAGCTTGGAGAATATTTTGTATTATTCATGGCCCTAATGGAGCTGTTTATAGATGTAATGAGCAATCTAATTAGCGGTGTGTGGTTTAATATCATTTTCAATTGCAAAAATAAGTCCCTTTTTTTAGCGTCCAGGTACCATGTTTTTTAAACACTCGCTTAGCTAGCTTAGAGAATATTTTGTGTTATTCATGGCCCTAATGTGTAACCTAATTAGTGGTGAGGGGTGTAATACCATTTTCAATTGCAAAAATAAATCCATTTTGTGAAGGTACCACTTTTTTTCCAAACATACCACATTTTTGAACTAAAGGTACACCTTTTTGGCGTCTAGGTACCATATTTTCTAAACACTCGCTTAGCTAGCTTGGAGAATATTTTGTGTTATTCATGGCCGTAGTGGAGCTGTTTATAGATGTAATGTGCAACCTAATTAGCGATGTGGGGTTTAATACCATTTTCAATTGCAAAAATAAGTCCCTTTTGCGAAGGTACCACTTTTCTTCCAAAGGTACCATTTTTTGGCGTCCAGGTACCATGTTTTCTAAACACTCGCTTATCTAGCTTGGAGAATATTTTGTGTTATTCATAACCTTAATGGAGCTGTTTATTGATGTAATATGCAACCTAATTAGCGGTGTGGGGTTTAATACCATTTTCAATTGCAAAATTAAGTTCCTTTTTTTGGCGTCCAGGTACCATATTTTTTAAACACTCGCTTAGCTAGCTTGGAGAATATTTTGTGTTATTCATGGCCCTAATGGAGCTGTTTATAGATGTAATGAGCAATCTAATTAGCGGTGTGTGGTTTAATATCATTTTCAATTGCAAAAATAAGTCCTTTTTTTTGGCGTCCAGGTACCATTAAACACTCGCTTAGCTAGCTTGGAGAATATTTTGTGTTATTCATGGCCCTAATGGAGCTGTTTATAGATGTAATGAGCACCCTAATTAGAGGTGTGTGGTTTCATATCATTTTCAATTGCAAAAATAAGTCCCTTTTTTTGGCGTCCAAGTACCATATTTTTTAAACACTCGCTTAGCTAGTTTGGAGAATATTTTGTGTTATTCATGGCCCTAATGTGTAACCTAATTAGCGGTGTGTGGTGTAATACCATTTTCAATTGCAAAAATAAGTCCCTTTTGCAAAGGTACCATTTTTTTTCCAAAGGTACCACATTTTTGAACTAAAGGTACCACTTTTTGGCGTCCAGATACCACATTTTTTAAACACTCCCTTAGCTAGCTTGGAGAATATTTTGTGTTATTTATGGCCATAATAGAGATGTTTATAGATGTAATGTGCAACCTAATTAGCGGTGTGGGGTTTAATACTATTTTTCAATTGCAAAAATAAGCCCCTTTTGCGAAGGTACCACTTTTTTTTTCCGAAGGTACCATGTTTTTGAACTAAAGGTACCACTTTTTGACGTCCAGGTAGCATATTTTCTAAACACTCGCTTAATTAGATTGGAGAATATTTTGTGTTATTCATAACCCTAATGGAGCTGTTTATTGATGTAATGTGCAACCTAATTAGCGGTGTGGGGTTTAATACCATTTTCAATTGCAAAATTAAGTCTCTTTTTTTGGCATCCAGGTACCATGTTTTTTAAACATTCGCTTAGCTAGCTTAGAGAATATTTTGTGTTATTTATGACCCTAATGGAGCTGTTTATAGATGTAATGTATAACCTAATTAGCGGTGTGGGGTGTAATACCATTTTCAATTGCAAAAATAAGTCCATTTTACGAAGGTACTACTTTTTTTTCCAAATATACCATGTTTTTGAACTAAAGGTACTACTTTTTGGCGTCCAGGTACTATGTTTTCTAAACACTTGCTTAACTAGCTTGGAGAATATTTTGTGTTATTCATGGCCCAAATGGAGTTGTTTATAGATGTAATGTGTAACCTAATTAGCGGTGTAGGTTTTAATATCATTTTCAATTGTAAAAATAAGTTCCTTTTTTTGACGTCCAGGTACCATGTTTTTTAAACACTCGCTTAGCTAGCTTGGAGAATATATTGTGTTATTCATGGCCCTAATGGAGTTATTTATTGATCTAATGTGCAACCTAATTAGCGGTGTGGGGTGTAATACCATTTTCAATTGGAAAAATAAGTCCCTTTGTGAATGTACCACTTTGTTTCCAAAGGTACCATGTTTTTGAACTAAAGGTACTTTTTTTTGGCATCTAGATACTATGTTTTCTAAACACTCGCTTAGCTAGCTTGGAGAATATTTTGTGTTATTCATGACCCTAATGGAGCTGTTTATAGATGTAATGTGCAACCTAATTAGCAGTGTGGGGTTCAATACAATTTTCAATTGCAAAAATAAGTCCCTTTTTTTTGGCGTCCAGGTACCATATTTTTTAAACACTCGCTTAGCTAGCTTGGAGAATATATTATGTTATTCATGGCCCTAATGGAGCTGTTTATTAATCTAATGTGTAACCTAATTAGCGGTGTGTGGTGTAATACCATTTTCAATTGCAAAAATAAGTCCCTTTTGCGAAGATACCACTTTGTTTCCAAAGGTACCACATTTTTGAACTAAAGGTACTACTTTTTGGCGTCCAGGTACCATGTTTTCTAAACACTCGCTTAGCCAGCTTGAAGAATATTTTGGGTTATTTTGTGTTTTTCTTATAGTATATTCATGTAATAGTCAAAGAAAATTCAGTTAGACCCTAGTATAATAAGCTATACAATACTAATTCATGAAAACCCAAAAGAGCAACTTCATTTGATTCCATCGAAGATAGATGCCAGTATAATAAGCCATACAATATATGATTGCAAAAACATACCAACCTGATCCACAATCAAAAGTTGCAAAAACTACTTTTCTTTAAAACTTAGAAAATAGCTAACAGCAACAGATTGCAAAATACCAGCAAAAAAAATGACACTGTTTAACATTACAAATGTCCCATATCCCACATCATTTCAAGTACTTTTTGGATTCTGAGATCCTCCTATCCCACTTCCTCTAGCTCCCAATTGGGCAAATACAAGTATGTATTTCCTTGTTCTGTGGTAAACCAATTTGTGGCTCTTTTCCTTTGTGTGGTCCTAGTGAAAGTCCTCTTGTTTGTGTATTTGATGGACATGCATTCTTTCTGTCTCTGTGTGTAGTTGGAACAAAAGAACCACTTTGTCTCTGTAACTGTCACATACAATAAAAATTAAGGTATTAAGGCATTGTATAATAATAATAAGGAACAAAAGCAATATAAAAACA